CTTGTTCTGTGCCTCAATTTGCAAGCTACACTACCTGTGGGACACCTAACCTGTGGACTGTGTCCCTGTAATTTGAGGTTCCTTCAAGACCTGCTTCTCCACACAATTGGAATTTACATCTCTTGAGCTGGGGACTGACTGTTGGTGACCTGACTGTTGGTGACCTGCCTTGCTGTTTGCTGCCTGTGCCGGGTTGCCTGAATCTCTCTACAGAAGACTACCTGGTGGTCCTCAAGACTTGAAGGACTGCCAGTGTCTCACAACTGTCTAACACATTTGAATTGTACGGAGCCATTTGTACTGCTTTATAATTTAACTGTTTACTTCTCGTGTTATCTATCTGTATAACTGCTTTATAATTTAACTGTTTATTTCTTGTTATATATCTATATAAATATATATAAAATTATCAGCAATCTGGATTTATCTCTCTGGAGAACCCTGTCTAACACATCTATTATAATTGTCTATGTAATACTCTGTCTAGTAACCAGGCTATTCCTATCTCTCAGTTGTTGTCAGAGGGGATTCAGAAGAGACTTTTTTCCTATGGAGATTCTATGAATGTATTCTGGGCTCCCACTGTCATCCATAGCCTTCTGCACACTATAATCTCACAATTTAATTAAATTTCACAATTTAATCCATTCCCTCCTTCGGACGTAGATTTTATTTTTTTCCCACTTCTTGGATCGCAGGTGTTGGTGTGCTTCTTCGATGTGGGCTTGGTTGACATCTCACTTAGATAGCTACTTCCCAGTTCCCATACTTTTGTTTGGTTTGGTCATTCTTTCTGATAGGCGGACACCATCCAATTTCTTCACCACACTTTGCTATAGCACCCATATCTTCCATGTTTCCTTCATGAGGGTATATATCAAGCAGGGCTGTGCTGTAAAAACTATTTTTAGCTTGGAGCTAGGATTGAGGGCAAGCTTAAAAATCCATTCCTAAATCTGTTTTCTATCTGCCTCTGGTTCACCTTAGAGACAGCTTTGTCACTTTATGGTAGAGAATCCTATTGAACATCTCCCTCAAACACACCTGTACTCCCCAAGGCCAAAATTACAAGGAGTATGAAGAAGCAGAAGGCAGCTATCTCAAGATACAGAAACAAGTGAACTGACATTTACTTGCTACTTCAATGCCCTACTTGATTTATTAAGATATGCACTATTCTGGCAGACTGTGTCTGACTTTGTCAGTGGATATTACTGTAAATTTTGCTTGAACACCAACTCTCATTGTTTGTGTAAATCATGTCTAGTTATGTAAGGAATTGATCGATGCAGCTCAATATTCCATGTATTACAATTTTCAGTTAGCCTACACCTGTTTAATTGTCTTTACTCAACCTTATTTTAAATATATTACCAGAGGCTAAATCAATGACACTACAAATAAAAGGATCACTGTCGCTTCTATCCTGGTGCAATTCGCTGCCAGGAGAAGTTAGTGTGCTCTTTCCTTCTGCCACATCAACCAGTAAGATTGGAGATGGGCATTCCACCAGTCAGTTTCTGAGTCATGGAAACAAGCAGAAATGTCCTGCTGTATAGGGAGCAGGAGAGGACTGGCAGGCCTGTCTATTCTGACTGGTACAGAAGGTCAGTGATACATCAACATCACCATATCATCTTTACATATTTATCATTTTAAATGCACCAGTATTTTAGTGAGATCGCCTTGCCATGTGATTATTGTTAGCTGCCAATTTCAGGCCTTGATTGATGGTGACCGATACAAGAGGGGATTGGACCACTGTGGTTCCCAGAGTTCTCATTAGCTGAGTTTGGGGAGTAAATGGTCAAGCCTGTCTTCCTTGTCTGTCTCCCTCTGTAATCTCCACTGGAACTTGTTCAGCATCACAGCAATGCACAAGTCTCTGATGAGAGAGAGGTGGCGGATGCAGGTGAGCACAATGAATGGGAATCCGACAGGGTTCCCACCCACCAAGGTGAGAAATCTGCCAATGACCCAACATCTTCCTCCTTCTCTATAATAATAACCTCCAGATCATCTTTGCATGTTAACCAGAGAGAAACTGCATTAAAACATATACCATTAAAAAGAGTACAAACCCAGTAGTTACATTCAAGAAAGAGCACCCCAAGTCAAAAGCAACCAAATAAGATTCAGAGTCCTTTCTCAGCTTCATGATAATAAGAAAAGGTCAACATCATACTACATGGACTAGCACTCATGCCAAGAGTAGATTTCTTCTCTCCAGTGGGGCCAAATCCTTGGGCTTGCTGCATGAGACACACAAGAGCACTAACAAAATAGGGAAATGAAAAAAAATAGGCATTCTAAGAATATAGAGTCGTAAGTGTCAAGTGGATCCCTGGTGACATAGTGGTCACATTGGGCTGCTGACCTCAAGATGAGCAGACGGAAACCATCAACTGCTACACTGGAGAGAGAGGAGGCTTTTGACTCGCCTAGAGTTACAGTCTCAGAAACTCACCAGGGCTCTTTGACCCTGTCCTAGGGAGTTGCTATGAGTCATCATCGACTCGATGGTTATGAGTTTGGTTTTTCGGTTGGAAGGCTTTAATTACATTATGAAAATATTCAGATGACAGAAATATTTACTCAAAACAAAGAAATAGCTATGGTTGCAAATTCTTTGCAAAACATACTTTTCTAAAACCTCATTTTCTAAAGACAGTACTCCAAAAGTACACAATTCAGTAAATTTTAGACATGTATCCCTTTTATGGATAGTACAAACTTACAAATATATACTAAAAATAGTCTTGAATCAGAGAGCCTTGATTTTACTTTTCCCCAAAGTGTCACTTCACAAGTGAACCGGGCAGACTTACTATCCCATCATGTGCTCCTTGGTACCACGATTTGGATCTTTAGTAGGGCACATTGAAATAAAAGGCAAGATTTCCTTTGCCTACTGTGTGTGGCCACATAAATAAGCATGGGAAAGTGCTATGGGAGAATTCCAGGAGGACTGACACAAATGAGGACTCTTCTTTACTGTTCTGCCTTTAATGTTGCATGCACGCAGAATAGGCGTGCAGCGGCTAGAATTCCAGTAGCCAAGGTGAGCAAGGAGGTTACACTGAAAATGGGAGCTATGGACTAACGGTAGAGCAGAAAAGAACTGCGCCTCTTTTTTTTTTAATTCATTATTTTATTGGGAGCTCTTATAGATGTCATAACATCCCATAATTCAAATAAATCAAGCATAATTGTACAATGGCTACTACAATCAGTTTCACATTTTCTTTCTTCTTGAATTTGATATCAGCTCCCATTTATCTCCCCCCCACCCTTTCTCCTAGAACACATATTATTCTATTATATAAATGTGTATATATATATACATACATACATACACACACACACACACACATAGCTGTATCTTATCCCAAGTATATTCTGTTAATTGCTCCCCTTGAGTGGGGTTATACAGTCATCATTGCTATCAGCTCCCTTTGGGCCCCCTTTCCCATATCCCCAGGGAATCATTACTCCCGTTTCTATTTCTGAAGGGTCATCCATCCTGGCATTCCTGCACTGAACTATCTTAATTATGGAAATGAAAAAATGTAGGTCTTAATGAGGTAGAACATAAGCCTTAATAGTGAGGGAAGGAAATATTAACGAACTGGAGGATAGTTATGAGCTTCATCAGTGCTCTACAGTACCGTAGATTTATCGTCCCTTCCATGTGGCCCTTCTGAGAGGGACTGGCCAATGATCTCACAGGTGGGTTTTGGGTCTCCCCTACATCCACGCCCCTTCACATCGATTTGGTTGCTTGCTTTTGAATTTCTGATACCTCTTCCCATGGACACCTCATGATCACACAGGCTGGTGTGTTTCTTCCATGTGGGCTTTGTTGCTTCCCTGCTAAATGGCTGCTTGATTATCTTCAAGCCATTTCAATGTGCCAGTTTTGGGCAAAAATCAGCAAGCCTCTCTTGACTCACACACCTTACTCACCTGACCTCACTCTGTGTGATTTCTTTTGTTTCCACGAATGAAGTGGGACATGAAAAAAACAGCGATTTGAGAATGTAGAAGAAAAAAATGGGGAGGGGCTGTCAGTTATCCAAACAGATGAGTTTGAAAACTTTTTCCAAGAATGGAATCACAGATTTGACAAATGTATTAAGTGTAATGGAGAGTACTTATAGGTGATAAGACTGTTTTATAAAAAAATTTAAATACATAGCTTTGAAAAAAATCTGTTTTTGGGGGGAATACCCCCTTGTTTCTTTGTGTTCCCCACATCTAGGTTGGTTTTATATAACAGAAGGATAAATAAATAAGTGCAAAAATATAGTACTGCTCTTTTGATTTGTTCTATTTGTAAAGCAGAAAAAGTATAGGCCATTACTTACTCTCTTCAGTGGATCAATATAAATTTTAGTATAAAATAGCTGATCATCGTCATTATCCTGGAGATTCCACTGCTGAACTATCCGGTTGATGTATGGAGCATAGCCCATGAATCCTGCAATGCAGTCAAGAGAGGGGAAAGGGTTTAACCTTCAAAGGCCAAAACTCATGTCTACATTAATCACAGATTAATTCTACATTAATTGCACAGGCTCATGGCATCAGAAGGGGCAATCTTTATGTTAGGTCTTCACAACTCACCATGAGACATACAGTAAAGCCTGTGAACGTTAGAACCTGTGTAAAGTACACACTTGTCAGAGAGGGAAGACTCGAGTATCTTCCACAAAACGCAGGAGAGAAAGATGGTAAGACTTCATCCTGACAAAGGCAGAGAACTTGAAAGCACAAAGCTGTCCTGTCAGGTTCCAGCTTCTCATTGGTTTCACTGTGCTGAGTGCCCTTTGTTTTATATACAAGCTACAATAGAGTGGGTTTTACTCTAAATAGCAAAATAAAGGTAGAGAAATGCCTCCTTCTAATAAACACATTCCCCAAATTAATTGGAACAAAAGGTAATGAATGTTATGTTTCTTAAGAAGAAAAGAGTTGCTAGGAAAGGGATAGAGTAAGACAAGATATTTTTCTCTGACGGTCTACAATGGTTTTCTTGGATCCTTTGCAGAGAATTCAGTTTCTGAGAAAGAACATTTCTATCACAGTGGAGTTACTGTCAGTGCCAGAGATTCTAACACAACCAAAAGAATGTTGGATTTGTCACTGACTGCAAGCAGCTCCAAGACCTGAGACATTTCAAAGATTTCTCCTTACTTAAGTGTGTCACTGTGATGCTCGCTACACGGTTCTCTTTTTTTTTCCCTTGGTGGTATAGTATTAAAATGAAGTCTAAAACTAGATTGTTCCCTTTGGCCCGAGAAGATAAGCACACAACCTGCCAAACATTTGTCTATAAAATAAAACATAATTGGATAATTTTTCCCATTTGAGTCTTCCTCTGAATTTCAAATATCCCAAATTGCTATGCTTCATTGGCATGTAATACTTTTTAAAAGGGAGTAATGCTGCTCTTAGCAATTAAAAGGAAACCTATGTTTTACTCACATAACCAAAATTTCCTCATAGGAATAACAGGAAGGAAATAGGACCAGGAATATTACTGTTACCTCGAGAAAACAAGGCAAAAAAAAAAAAAAAAAGATGATAAAAACCCAATCATTGATTGCTTTATTATTATCCTTGCCAAATGAAAAAAAATCCTAACTCCCTGAGAAATCATAGTTTTTTATTCTGGTGATCAATCAATCCCCCGTGGTGGAAAATGTACATAACCAAATAAAGAGTGACACATCACTTTTTCCAATGGTTTACATTATCGTTTTTCTAAAACATGTATTCATCTTTTTTATATATCCAAAACAGCTTCAAATAAATGTGGATAAGTGGCATTTATTTTCATACCATCTATATGTTTCAAGTGATGTATTTTTTATACTAACATGCCATCTTGTTTCAGGCCAATACGGTTTCTAATATTATGAATTTTCTCATCATAAAAAGTGTTTGATCACTATAGTAAAGGTTTTTTGAATATTAAAAGATACACCCATATGCGATGATTATATAATATTAGAAAAGTAACCAATGCTACTAAATCGTACATTTAAAAATGGTTTCAAGGGTACAATTTGTTATTTATATTTTACACCACAATATAATAAAAGTAGCTAAGCCCACAAAATGACTTGTGTTCCTTAAAGAACTATATTTAATTCATGAAATCATCTAAGCCTTTATTAAACATGCTGAGATGATCTGACATCTCTATTTTCACTACAGCGATCATAAGGATGCTGTTTGATGGCTTTGCTATATACCTGTAAATGCATGTCCCTTAATTAAAATGGCCCACACAAACACTTACTTGATACCTATCATTTGTTTCCACAGCACTATAACTGTGCCTGAAATTTAGATACTAAAGTGGATGTATCACTACCCAGATGGATCTACAGAGAGCAGTTCCCTATATATGGCAATTTAAGGAAACTTTTTATAAATATAAAATAAATATCAGCTATCTATAACTATATATGCCTTAAGAATAATAAGTTTTTTAATTATCTATGATTTAGTACATGCTGAACGATTAGCCTAGAGGCTGAGTACTCAAGGCAGAGGAATCAGAGCGGCAGCCACCTGAGAGGCCGCAGGGACTGCTGAGGCAAAGAAGACAGAATGTGAAGCATGAGGGACCTTTAAAACCCAAAGGTCATACACACACAGCCATCTTGTTGATTCTAACTCACTGTGACCCTAAGGAATGCAGTAGAATTAATTGCTCCACAGGGTTTCTGAGGCTATAAATTTTTTTTTTTAAAGATCATTTTGTTGGGGGCTCTTAAAACTCTTATAACAATCCATCTATCAATTGTATCAAGCATATATGTTGCCATTATTCTTTTCTAGACACGTACTTTCTATTGAGCCCTTGGTATCAGTATAAATCTTTATGGGAACAATCAGCTACATGGAGATTAGGTAAAAATGAAACAGTCAAGAGTTCCCAAAATAGCATGCAGTACAGATCTACTGAGATGGAGAAAGGAAGGTGAGCTGAAGGTAGGTGGTGCCAATTGGAGTTTAGAGTTTCCAAAGTGCGATACATATGAAGTAACAAAAGTCCCCAGTACAACTGTAAGGGAAACAACATCAACAAAACAACCAGTTAAAGGCACACCGAATCAAGGCGGTCACATGTCAGAGGAGAACTGTGCTCCACAGGCTTGCCAGTGCCTGATGCCCCAAGGGCTGCTGGGCGGACTGGAAGCACTATCCGTATGGTTAGCAGATGAGTTCATTAGCCATTCTGTCTGCCCAGGGTTCTTGTTGAGGAAAAAATGACTTAAATTCTGGAAGAATATGGAAATAATATACCAGCCCTGCCTAAGGTTGTTAGGAGCATCAAATGGCATAGCAGGAGAAGCAGCATATTGTCCACTATAAAATGTACTCAAATCAAACAGATATGGTAAATTCATATTATTAATACATTAATGATTATATTTGCATTTACAGGTAGGGCAGCGTCCAAAAATAAAAGGCTGTTATTTTATATATTGATAATTTACTCCCTGCTCATGTCTTACCCACCTCCTGAATTCAAGTAGCGTTTCCCAATGTGCACAACAGGGTACTTGTCTGCCAGTCTTTTATCTGGCCATAGAATTCCATCAGCTGCAAAGACCACTTTGTGGTTCATCTTCTGGAATTTTTTTAGAACTTCTTCTGGACCACCAGCAAATATGACATCAAAGCTGTTTAATTAAAACATAAAGAAAGAAACGTTTAAAATACACTCACTGGAATTCAGGCATAGAAACGTAGTTCAGAATAGTTAAAAAACAAAACACACAAAAAAACCCACAACTAAATTCTGACCTTATAAGACCCCTGGGTTTTAGAGACTATAACTCTTTACAAGAATAGAAAGCCTTTATCTTTCTCCTGAAGAGCGGATGGTGGTTTCAAACTGCTCACCTTTGGGTTTGGTGCCCAACACACAATCCACCATGCCATTAGGCCTCCCAGGAAGTAAAGAAAAATTCTCAAATAAAAGTCAGGGTATAGAATCCAACACAGAATTATACCTGATCTCAGTCAATAGGTTAAAAAAGGATTAATACAATTTATTTACAATGGACACCAATGAAGTTCCCTCAATGTAAAATAAAAAGTACCGCTTCCATTATGTTATCAGTATTCATATTACATTGGCAGATAAAGTCCAAGACAAGGGCAGATTATTTAGTGGCAATCATAGTAAATTTTCAACAGCAAGTTACTACCAAAATAATAATTTACAAACAGTATTGAACTGCTAATAAGCAGTCACTTGCTATGTAACATAATAATATAGAGTAATTAACAGAAGCTGCCATTGTAATTGCTCACCATGTAAAGCCTATTGGTATCTGCCATAATTTCTGAAGAATTCGTATCTTTGACAAATGTGTCCAACTACTGTCTTCAACCCACTTTCAGTCTGTGAATCATTATTCCGCATTAAATCCTACAGTAAATGTGTGCAGACAAGCCCATCTTTTAAAAACAGAATACACTTGAAAACATATTAGATAAAAATTAACACCACAATGTAATGTCTACCATTTCATTGATTTCTTTTATGGGGACTTCATTCCTCAAAGTTCAATCACAGACCAAAATAACAGAGCAAAAAATGAAACTTAAAAGTCACTCCCCAAAATATTTTCACTCTGCAATAAGTTCCCTCTTCATTACAATAAGAGAAGACAACCTAGAAATCAGCTATTTGAACACATTATTGGCTCAATAAGAGAAAAACCTAGTCATGTGCTTCCCTAAAGATTACAACCTAGAAAACCCTATGGGAGAGTTCTACGGTCACATGGAGTTTCTATGAGCCCAAATCCACTGGAGCAGCACTGAGCAATAACATTCATTATAACCAGAATCAATTGGCATGCTTTGGACATCAGTATACCACAACTATATCTCAGAAGTTCCAAAGATGGTAATTTTTTAACCTTAAATCCCACGGTGGCAAACAATTCAGGATGCCACATTGGTGCTTTCAAGAGCATCCAAGCCAAACGAGATCTTTCTAAGTGCCAGTTATCTAGATGCCCCGCTGTGTTCCCTGACTGGGAGGAAGGGGGCTGCACCACACACCTTTCCCTGAAGCCTCCCTGTCAAGGGATTTGTTAATATGCTATGAAGATCTCAGGCAAGATTTAATAACTTTCTACATATAGATTATTTTATCAAAGTAATACACACTCTTACTAACCTGTAGGTTAAATGCTGGGCTGCTAACCACAAGGTAGGCAGTTCAAACACACCAGACATCCCATGAAAGACAGTTGAGGCTATTTGCTCCCTTACAGGTTGACAACCTCAGGAGCTCTACACAGCAGCTTTACTCTGCCCTGCAGGGTAGTTGTTCTGGTCAAACTGATTTGAGGAGCAGCAGGTTTTTAAGTGTGTGTATGTATATATGTGTGCATTGGTTTTTGCTTTCCTTTTGTTTTGTTTTTGTTCAGTTTATAGAACATAAGGGAGCAAATTCTAAATTACTTTGTATCAAGAATAGAATAAAGATATACATATTAATTACATTTATGGCAGAGATGCTAACTGGTCCCCACTTATATACCCAACCGCCTTAGTTGACAACACACATGGCCTCTACCCTGGGGAACCTGCTTTTCCCAATCTAATCTGAAGACACACGTGGCCATGTGGCCGCAAGACTACATTCTGCTCAACATACAGAAAGCGAAGCAGCAGCAGGGCGTCACCTCCAGGTCCTGTACTTTCCAAATGAAGGTCTCAGTGCTCTGCTGCCTCTTCCTCATTCCCGGGGAGCCAGACTTTACAAATAAATGTTACTTGACATACACCAAACTCATCGCCATCCACAGATGCCAACTCACAGCAACCCCATAGAACAGGCTAGAACAGCCCCTGTAAGTTTCCAAGACAGAAACTCTTTACCACAGTAAAAAACAGGGAGCTGGTGGTTTGAACTGCTGACCTTGCTATTAGCAGCCCAACTCATAATCACTATGTCACAAGGGCTCTTTTGTGATGCACATTCAAAATTCTGCATCTTTAAACAATTATGAAGCTTTAAACAAAGAAATAAGTAAAAGAATTTTAAATATTATTAATATGTAATTCATCTTAGTAATTACAAGGGGGCACCCCCTAAAATTCCACCCCCCAATGCTATATATTTAAATTTGTGTACAGAACAACCTTATCACTTTCAAAGTACTCTCCATTACACTTAACACATTTGTCAAATCTGTGATTCCACTCTTGGAAACAATTCTCAAACTCATGTTTGGATGCCTAACAGTACCTCCCTCATTTTTTTCCTTCACCTCTTCTATGTCATCAAATTACTGTCCTTTCATGTCCCTCTTCATCCAAAGGAACAAAAGGAAGTTGCACAGAGCAAGGTCAGGTGAGTTAGGTGCATGGGGCAAGAGACAACTACTGATTTGGCCCCAAACTGGTACACTGAGATAGCTGTGTGAGTAGGTGCATTGTTGTGGTGGCAAAACCACACCTTGTCTGCCACAAATCAGGCCTTTATCGTTTCACAATGTTACACTAGCTTTTCACAACCTCAATAAGAAAGCTGGTGAAGTCTGACCTGGTGGAACGAATCCCAAATGTACTGTAAGTCGACATTTTTGTCCATTCGGAAAGTTGACAGATTGTCCAGAATGAGGTTTGTCATCAATTGACATTTCACCTTTTTTGAAATGAGAAAACCACTTGTACACTTGAGTTTTTCCCACAGCATTGTCCTTGTAAGCTGTATTCAGAACATCACAACAGTTTCTGCAACATTTTTCCCAGAGCAGGAAACAAAATTTCACAGCCACATGTTGTTCTCTTAAATTGGCCATCACAAAAAATGAGGTTTGAATGAAACTGCGTTTTATGAAAAAATTCACTATGACCAGAGAGAAGCTTCCCAGGAAATGCCACTAGGTGCACTAACTTAGAGGGAGTTGCTGGATGCTCGCCTAGTGGGAAAAATGCCTACCACAAATGCTCCACCCAGCAGAGCTTTTTTTTACCACTCCCTTGTATGTTATTACTATTACCATAGTTTTTAATCTTAGTAAATGAGCATTGATTGAGTTAAGAGATAGGATTTCTTTGTTCTACAGGATTTAAATTTTTTGTTATCTTTTACATCAGTTGCAAAACATATAACTTGCTTCAAAATTAAAATATAATTATATATACTGGCAAGGAGCCATGGTGTGGCGTAGGATGAGTGTGGGACTGCTAATTTCAAGAGTTGACGTCCAAACCCACTACTTGATCCACAAAAGAAAGACAAGACTACCTGCTCCAGTAGAGATGTACAGTCTCGCAAACTCTGAGGAGCAATTCTACTCAGTCCTATAGGGTTATTGTAAGTTGAAATTGACTCAGTGCCTGTGGGGTTCGTTTTATATGTACTGAAGTTTTTTTCTTCCAAGATCAATAGGCAATAAATTGCTGACAATTAACATCATTAACAGTGTAACTATAAAGTGCATTACACAAATACTTGGTAGTCTACTATTTGGGATTCCAATTCCATATTTGCCATTTGGTTAGGCATGTTACTTACCCTCTCTGTGATTCAGTTTCTTTGTCTATAGTATGAGAATGGAGGGAGAAGGGTAGTATTGATCAAGTTGGTGTAAAAAAATGGAAAATTAAAATACGTGACATGTAAGCACTCCACAATGTTAAAAAAAAAATTGTGATACTATTACTAGAAGAGAGACACTGATGGAGGGGAGAGATTAGAGGAAAAGTCTCATTTATTTTATAAGCTACTATTTAGAATAATTTCATTGTTAGACAGACATGCAAGTTTTTAACCATATCTTAAATCAGAGTAAGATAACCAGGATGTACAGACTATCCTTCCCTGCCTCCTCATTTTAATAACAACTGAATTACTATGACATGGCAGGATAACATTTACGGAATATATCTAGTTTCTTTTTATTCTAAATGATCAAAACTGACTTCCTCAGTATGACCACGTTATATGGTCACCTTGTCATGTACACCAGTAGGGACATTTTGCTCACAACTACTAACTGACGGTGACACAAAGCAAAATTAATTTTTTTCAAATGGAAGTTTATGAAAAAGACCAACTTTATGAGCAACTGGGTCATGAGAGTCAAAGCAAATAGACAATCTAAGACAAAGACTACTGTGTGAGAACCCCGGCACACAATGAGAAGACAGTACAAAAAAGAAAATAGTTCCTGTCATCGGTTTAATTCCTGTTTGTGTCTCACAGGGACTCAGGCAGCAATCCAGGAAAGATCCTTGCCCACATGAGCTTCCATGTAGACTTTGACTCACTCTTCAGTGGTTCTGAGGTGCAGTCTGGCTGGTGAATTGCTGGTCCCATCCAAATTTTGAGCATATACATAGCTTTCCAGTATGATATACTAGTAGGTGGGTGTTGGGGGGTATTTTGATTAAAGGAGGACATCTTTGGTCTGAACCTCATGTAACGGCAGCAACATGCCTACCCATGGTATTTTGGAACCAGTCTTGATGGAGGTGTCTTTAGAATAAAATCACAGGGTCATGAAAGGGGCTTGGACTTCGGAATCCAGCCGACCTTGTTTAAATTCAGTTCCTGTAACTTCAGTTTCTGACTCAGAGAGAGTATGCTTCTCTCACTGAACCTTTGTTTCGCATCCATAAAATGAGGTGAGTAATATAGTTTTAAGAT